GTTCCGGGGGATTTGTAACAAACTTTGACTGTGATGTTGCTCATATGGACCTATCCTTTAATCCTGACCCACAAGCTCTTGACCAGCCTGTTGTCCTTCCTGTAGAACAGCTCTTGGTGTTCCAGCTGCTCCTTCAGGTAGAGGGCAATTTACCTGCAGGTCTTTTCATCCTGGCTTTCTTAAAAAAGCCTATACGCACCCATGGCACAGCTCCAGTCATGTGAGCTATCCCACGTCTCAGTTACTCCGGTGTCATAGTTCTGTGTACAGGTACTTGAGGTGGTTCCCCTTTCAACATGTTTTATCCTTGCCAAGGCCTCTCTTCCTCCCACCAACCTGACCCATGTACTCAACATGTCTGAATCTCTATTCCTGACCTTAAATGCAAACTTCTATCAGCATTCCCTGATAGACCTCTCCTTTAAAGTGCTGGTCACCAGGTTTGATGAGGATGTTCCTAACCCACTTTGTCAAGTGGATCCCCTATCTAACTTAGCAGCCCTCATTTTTCAGGGGTACTTGTGGCCACAAAAATTAAAGCACTGCCTGCAGTGCCAATCCTGCAGTGAGCTGTTAGCTTGCAGGATGGGTCTCTGCAAGCCTTTTCCCCTTCACATGAAAGAGTGAAGAGAACAAACATCGCCTGGGGTCCCATGTCTGTCTTTGCCCCTGCAGTTTTCTAGTCACTTTTGATTTGCTTCAGGTCTGCTTTGTTAATAGCGTGGGTGCCTGTGTGAGTAGGTAATGATAATAGTTAGGGAAAAAAAGGGGGGGGGGGGGGGGAAAAAAAAAAAAAAAAAAAAAAAAAAAAAAGAATGCTTTGTGTTAACTCTTATTTCTTCTTGTAATTTTTCCCCCCAAAACCAATGAACAGTCTGGCTGAACAATGACTATCCACAGTCACTAAACATCGATTTCTGTTCCTTGCTGTCCTTCACCTCCTTCACTGGCATTTAATTATCCCCCTTTGTGTTGCTCAGCCCCGTGCTCCCCTGTACCTGCGCTGTGACATGCCTCTGACGCTTCAGTCACATCCCCAGACGCTCCTAGGGACTGACTCCCTATCTTTGACTTGGTGCTTCTACTAATAGTCCAAGGGTCAGAGTACCCTTGGCAGTCTCTCTGACATGCTGAATCTGGCCAAACCTCCTTTACCAGCATAGCTGGCATCAGATGTGTGTGTCTCCTTTGCAGAAGGGAATCTCCCACCTGCTGCTCCCTCGTATTGTTAATGCTTAGTTCAAACCCAGCTAGCTCTGACACCTACTTTAATTGAGATGCTTGCTGCTTCTGCCTGTCATTCTAATGTTGACCAAAAACAATAGAGAAAGTGGAAAATAGCTTTATATGCTCGTGTTCTTAAGGTAAACAAGAGACTGGAGCACTAGTATAATACAAATCACAGGATCGCAAGGGTTGGAAGGGACCTCGGGAGATCATCTAGTCCAACCCCCCTGCTAGAGCAGGCTCTCCTAGAGCATGCTACACAGGACTTCATCCAGGCGGGCTTTGAATATCTCCAGAGAAGGAGACTCCACAAACCCCCTGGGCAGCCTGTTCCAGGGCTCTGTCACCCTCAGAGTAAAGAAGTTTTTCCTCACGTTCAACTGAAACCTCTTATGTTTCAGTTTGTGCCCATTGCCCCTTGATCCTGTCACTGGGCACCACTGTAAAGAGTCTGGCTCCATCCTCGTGGCTTCCGCCCTTAAGATATGAGGTGTTGGGAGATGTACAGTAAGAAAGGAATCTAGATTTATGAAAAATCTGAGACTTAGAAGGCTCAGACCAATGTTTGGGTACCTCATATCATCAGCTAACATGAGGTGCAACCTTCACATGCAGGAATGATTGCTAAGAGCTATCCTGCAGCTCGTGCTTCATCTTCCGTTGACATGTTTACGTGCAGTCAATGTGTGTGAACATACTACTCATACTTCAAGAGTTTCATTTTTTGTAACAGCCTTCTATGTGGGATAAATTTCTGACAAGTCACTTCAGGCTTTTGGGTTCTGCTTTTATTTGGCTTATGGTCACCATGTTGTTTCATATGCTTTGGATCAGAGAAATGAATGCTGCAGTAGAAGCTCCGACTGAACTGTTTGCTATTTGTGGCTTTTAAAGGACTTTAAGCAAGCTGCCATGTGATAGGCAGGACTACTGGAGCCTGGTTTCATAGGAGTATGTCTCTGAAATGTAGTACTTGAACTTTTAACAATTTTTCTTCATTCCCAGTGTACTTGTTCATTTTCTCAGTGTTCTGCCATCTGAAGGAGAAACAGGTTGTGTAATGTCCACTTTGAAATTATATTCACATGGAGTTGTCTGGCAATGAAGAGGCAAGAGATAACTGAAGATCCTAAAGCTCCTAAGCTATGTCAGACCAAAGGAATAACTTCAGGGACTTCTGGCTGCACTGGACTGTTATTTCTGGTTTATGTATTTGGTTGAAATTGTTGGAGATGAACAATTCATGGCAGAAGAGGGAGAGAAATAAAACATTGATTGTACAAAGTCCTGTTTATTTAGAAAACTAGTAAAAAAAAATCAACATATGAACACTCATCTGTCTGGTTTGTTTTGGCCATGTGTGTTTCAGCAGGCACCAACTAAAAATCAGAGGTTTTATGCTTTTCAGTAGTGCAGATGTGTTGTAGCATCTCCACAGTGGGTAGTGGGTAACAGATTTCATACTCTGGAGAGGCAAATGTCATTGTGTTCCTCTCACCTGAATTACTGAACACTTTCTGAAATCCTCAGCAGGTCCACTCACAGGGAGGGGAAAGCAAACGTATGTTCTGTGGTCATCTACTATGGAACTTCCAGGGACAACTGTTATTGGAGATGCTGTCACAGAACGGAAGTACTGCTTCAGTACTTAAATCTTACTTCAGAATGAAAGCTTTTAATTTCCTGGGTTACAGAGTTGAAGCTTTTAAGGAAATAATGTTGTAGTGTATTTCATAGTAATTTACTAAACTGTACTTGACATCCCATCTCACTCCTTTAATAGAGTAAAATAAAAATGCAGAAATGCAATTTGGAGATTAACTTGAGAATATTGTATTACGGTTTCCTAATGAGGCAGTGAGAGGGAAGGGAACAGGAGTATGGAAGTCACTGAAAAACAGATCAGGAATTTGCGTTCTTTGCTTCTGTGCTTTATGGAAACATGGATGTACTCTGAATCTACCCATTTCTAGAGGTGATGGCTAGTAATAATACTGTCTTTTTTTATGCAAAGCTGACCAAACTTAAGAATTATACTGTAATATATTTCACTTCTCAAATGACCTTTTTTAAGAGATTTAGAATGGCTAGTTTTACATGTGGAAATCTGAAAGGATCCTTTAGAAGGGGATAGCATCTGTGGCACGTCAACCAGAATTCACAGAGATCAGTATAATTTAGGAAATAGTATTCAACATAGTAGCAGAGAATTACTTGCTCAGATAGGTTTACTGTGGTTAAAAAAAAGAGGTGATACAAACCTGTTAGGATTACCTTTGCAAAGATGTACATGGATTGGTAAGAAACATTGCACCTAAATCTCTTTTGTAGCTCAGACATAGGGTGTTTTTTTTTTCCTGGAATAGAGGTATTGCCATGCAAAGTAGTACCATGAATGGCAGGAAGCGAAATAATCCTACCTAATTTGTAACTGTGTGTGTTATTAACAATTGTGAAGGTCTTTTCTTGGAGGCTTTTATCTGGAATTTAGTAGGTCAGGTGCTTTCTCTTTCTGAATGATTTTTTTGTTTGGTTGGGTTTTTTTTAAAAAATACCTTTGTCTTTACATCAGGAAAAGAATCCAAAGACTTGATGGAGGGCACAATTTTAGTAAGGTAGAAGGACAGCTATAGCTGTTCCAGTCTGATCTACTGCAGAAATGCACTGGAGCTTCCCTACTCTATGGAGCATTGCAAGTCAGATAATAATTTAAGCTTGCATAGAAGTGCAAGCTAGAGCATAAATGTGCTGTTTATAACAAATTTTATTTCATCTGAGGCTACAATTCTACAGATGCACTCTAACGGTCTATCTTCTTCACGCTGGCCACTCTTCTTGTGGCCTTGGATCTATTGTGGCTGTGGTAACATCTGTGTGACTGTCTAGTTATGATGGGAAGCAACCTACACACATAAAATGACTGTGAAAATCTGAGCATGGTACCCAGCAAGATGGACAAAACAGTGGACACACAAATACCAAACCCGTTTCTGTAACGAGCAAATGGAGCTTTCTGCTTCCTGATTGCGATGTGTGGGTCTGTACACTTGATGAGGGAAGCCTGTGTTTGTTGTAAAAAGGGGAATCTTGCTTCAGGCCTTTTGAGTAAGTCTGTTTGGGTCACTACATAGATTGTTTTTCAGGGTTGAGTTGAGGAAAATTTGTTGTTTCAAAACATGTATTGCTTAGAGGCATGCAGATAAGGATTACAGAGGTTTTTTTTTTTTTGAGGAGTAAGACAAGCAGAAACGGTGAACAGATCTAAAAACTCATTGAGGTTTTTGGAAAGGATTCATTTGTTTAATCTCTGTAGATAGGAGAGCCCTTATATCTCAAGGCAAAATAACTTTAATTTGATCTAACCCAAGGTTTCACAGTAATTCTGTCCATCCTGGCCGACTGCATCACTGTGCCATGCTCTCGTTTTACCAATGAGGGAGTAGTGGTAGGGTGATTTTCTAATAACTTCAAAAATCTGCTGCTGAAAATTTTGATTTATTTAGCTTCATATGGGACTTGAATTGTACAAAGAATTGTATGGTTTGAAAAACGTAACGGCTGTTGGATATGATTCCAAGTGAACAGTTACATGACTTTGCATTGTGTTCAGTAACATACCACACAGGATCGCTTAAGCAGTGTCTGACTAATGACGTGATTTCTATATAGGAAAAGTATATGATGGATTTGAATATATACCAATATATAATAGAACACCTACAGTGAAAACTGCATGTGAAATGTTTTTAAAGCAGAAATATATTTTTGCAGGTCTAACAAAAAGCCTAAGCATAACTTCAGTTGACCAATCAATGTTTGAAAAAGCACAAGGAGAGAAAGTTACATTGCCATGTACTTTTGTACTCTCAGAAGAAGATGAAGGCCCGCTAGATATTGAGTGGGTATTAATACCAACAGATAATCAAAAGAAGGAACAAATAGTAAGTAGAGACTTTTTTTGCACAGTGTTAATTCAGTTGTTTGAGTAGGTTAATGTATGAACTTGTTACTGACTTCTTAAACTTCAGCCTTTTTAGGTTGGAATGCTTGTGATTTTAAATTACTTTGAAGCACCAGTCGTTTGTAATACAGTGGAAGTTTTGGAGCAGCAGATTAAGTGTGAAATGTGAAGAAATGTCTCACTATAGACTTGTCTTCTAAAGGAGAACTCTAAAATAAAAAATGCTTCAGTTACAGAAAATAAATTATGGTTTTGTACCTCCATTATTTTCCTGATTAAAAACTGATTTATGGGAATTTGATTTTAAATATATTAGCTCCTTCTGATAGTTATTAACTCTTTCCTTTCTTCAGAAGCCTTATCAAAAAGGTGACTCCTTTTAGTAGAGAGGGTTGACAGAATGAAGATTAGAGCAATTTTAGGCAGTTTTCTTTCAGTTAGAAGTCAATGCTGACATGCTGCTACTTGGACAGGTGTTTGGTTGGAGTGTTGATTCAAGTATATGATATATTGAAGATTGACATAATTGGCTATATCATGCCTCTGGGATTATTTAAAACAGTAGCAAGAAACTGTCAAGAATCTGAAAATACTACATTATTTTGAATGTTTAAATGCCAAGTGGATTTCTGAATCGTATTTCTTTTTTGGTAGATAATTATGTATGCTGTCGACAGGATTTATAATCACTATTATGCTGCTATGACTGGGCGGATGCAGTTTACTAATCCTGATCCCAGATCTGGTGATGGTTCATTGGATATCCTGAATTTAAAGTCAGCAGATACTGGCACATACCAGTGCAAAGTGAAGAAGGCTCCTGGAGTTCAAAGCCAGAAAATACAGTTGACTGTACTAGGTAAGATAATGTTTTTCTTGAACTTCCAGTGACACTTTTTATGTATTTATTCCATCGTATATTTGATATATAAAATGAAAACTTCCATTGGGCAAAGTCGTACTGAATCTATGATGATGCATTATTGAGACTTTGTGGGGGGTGGACATCATTCTGTTCTGGGGTATGAAGGGAATCATATTCAGAATAATGAGCATTTAAAAAAATTCTACATGCGACTTGTATTTCATAGGAAATCTTCCCATGCATAGAAATGGTTTGTTGCACAAGCTTTGTCTTTAGGAAAATGGACTGACCTACCAGAACACAATTAGTAAGCATTTTTTTTGTGACTATTATTAATTCAGTAATATTTTGTTTATTAGTAAAGCCAGCAAGAACTAAATGTTCCATTGAAGGACCACAGGAGATTGGAAGAGACATTATCTTGAAATGTGCATCACAAGAAGGGTCCCCACTTTTGTCTTATGACTGGAGAAGAGTGTCTGGCACACAGGAACTTCCTGCCACTTCCACGCTGAGTACTGTCAATCTTTATTTGTTACTCTGGAATACTTAAGAAAGGTTGCGTTCATATTTTTGGCTTACCTTGACTTGCGAGCATCTCATGCTTAATTTTACTATAGGGCAGTCAAGATAAGCATCACTTCTAGTGGGAAATGTTTCAAGCTTTTAAGTTGAGATTGTTACCATTAGCCTGCAGAATCATGCTCATCTGTGCATGAGTGTTGTGAGTTCTCTTGCTTGGTGATGTTGGCTGCTTTTGTGCACAGGTTGGACAGTGGGGAAGAGTCAGAACAGAGTCTAGACCAGTAGTTAAAGCTGCCTTCAAGGAAGTGGGGATAAAAAGCTTGAATTTTATTAGAGATTGAACTCAGATCTTCACTTTCTGATCAAGTGACAGAACTTCCTTAAACAGGGGTATGAGTCTTCAGAAGAAAAGCTGTCCAGAGTACAGAAGAGAAGGCTTACCTCTTCTTACAAGAGCTGACATCCAGGGAAGTTATATGTTACAAATTTTGACTGATGGTTCCCAATTTATTATACTGGTGGTATTGGATTTTTGTTGTGAGAACTTAATTGTAGAAGGTTGATTTGTGAGTTTTGGCCTTGTGAAAGTTATTCCAGAATATTTTTTTGGAAAAATACTGCTCTGTACGAAGTCCTTTTGATCTTCTTTGTGGTTACAAAAACCTTGAGATGGTGTGTTTTCCTTGAAGATGAAGCAGTTTAAGAATCTGCTTACAAATGCACATATTTTAACTTGGGTTGTGCAGGACATACAGGATAAGGTGGTATCATGTGTCTCAAGTAGCCAAAGTGAATGTCTAGGGGAGACAGAGTTAAGAACTTGTGTGGTTTTTCCTCATAGCGGTCTCCTATCCTCCTTTGACTTATGACTCAGGAAATTCAGTTGTGGTTTTGGTTTAATTGAATTAAAACAAACAAAAACTCACTTCTGTGAACTTCTCCAGTCTCTTTTAAACTTTTATTGTGTTTTACAATCTGTAATATCTTAGAACACAGATCTCTCAAAATCGGCAACATATGAAGAACCTTTTACTGTTCTGTACTGCACTGATGTCCTTCTCTGTACCACCTAAGATCTTAAGCTCCTGTTGTTATTCCCCTTCTTTCTCCACATCCCAAATTTGTCTCATGTTAACTAATCAATTGACAGTATAAGTGCTGGACAAGAATGACTGAGGAAGTATGCAAAAGTGGCATGTGACTCGATAAACTGGTGTTTGCTTTGGGCTTGTGAATGTAGGTTTATCATAGAATCGTAGAATCGTCTACGTTGGAAAAGACCTTTAAGATCAAGTCCAACCGTTAACCTAACCCTGCCATCCCACCACTAAACCATGTCCCTAAGCACCTCATCTATCCTTCTTTTAAATACCTCTGGGGATGGGGACTCAACCACCTCCCTGGGCAGCCCATTCCAGTGCCTAGTCTCTTGCAGTGCTGATGGAAAATCTGTTAGCAATTAAAGCATGCAAATCATTTGAAGTCCATATAGTAAAATCTCCTGAAAGTAGCTGTCGATGGCTTTGGAAGCCCTGGGGAAATACTCTTTTTGTTTTCACTGATTCATGTCTCCTACTCTATCAGCCTAGCTAGACTCAATTGGTCACCCACTGGAGTGCAGTGTTTAGGTTAGATCCACCTCACGTTGAACATGGGTTCTGCAGGCATCTGAGCTGGTTGTGTAGAATCAGTTTAGACAGAAGAGAAGGAGAGAAGGAGGTACTTCTGGGATGCGGTTAATCTTTTGTATTTTAGAATTCTATGTTAGGATGGAGAATTTGCCACTTAAAGCATCTGTTCCTTTCCATTGACAGAGCAATTAGTCTGTAGGCTTAATATAAAAGTCAAATGCTAAGGAATACGTTTCTAACAAGGTAAAAGGCTCTTACAAATAATAGTATTTTGCAGTGTGGTAGACTTCTTTTTATTTGGTTATTTTTAGTACAGCATTCTTTAGTTAAGATTTCATCTATGTGCTGGATTAATAATTCTGTAGTGCTGAATATGGAATTAAACTTTGAAAAATGGTAAACCTTTATCTTTTGTTGTTTGTAGATAAAAATACAGGGGAGCTTCTCTTGAAAAATGCCTCTCAAGACTATTCTGGTGCATACAGTTGTGTTGCCTCCAACAGAGTTGGCACGGATGAATGTTCTATTGAGCTGAATGTCACACCTCGTAAGTGTTTGCTGTGTAATGGTCACATAGTGTTTTGTATATTAAAGCTGAATAATATTGTTTCTCTAAACTCCTAAAAGGTTAAAAACCCAACCTTGTTGTATACCTGCTGGTTGCTACTTCAAGTCTTTTAATTCCCAAAATGTTTCTTTTTATGCAGAAAGCTGAAACTCTTACTATTGTTTTAAATGCATGTGATTGAAACATAACCTCTGTGATTCAGTGATATACTGTTAACCTGGATCACGTGGAAACATACTGTTTTTAATGTTGAGTTGAGAGAAAAGAAGTTGGTTGTGTAAATTTGACACTTAACAAACAGTATTGTTATTTATCTATTCTAGCTATAAATACAGCTGGAATAATTGCTGGAGCTATTATAGGAACTCTGCTGGGTCTTTCTGTACTCATTTTTCTCGTCTTCTGTTGCTGTAAGAAACATAGAGAGAAGAAATATGAGAAAGAAGTACATCATGAGATAAGGTAACAGCATATCTCTAATTTCTGAGCAGTATTATTTGAAGATTAACTTTTAAATGTGTATTTCTGCAAGTAAGATACTTAATAGTTGAGATTTCTGTCTTAATCTGGAAATCTTATTAACATACTAACAGCTTGTCAGAGACCTTTTTGTTTTGAATATGGTGTCGATAGCCATGTCTTAATTTCAATAAAGATTTTATAAGGCAATGAATATTTAATTTATTTTTTTTTTTTGCTGAAACTAATATGTGAGCCTCTTGGATACTGCATCAGAATAGAAAGAAACAAACTGAAAGTTTGTTTTGTAAGCTCCCATGTGATAACAGTGACTGAACTCTTGTTCTGCATCTGTTTTTTTATTTATTTCAGAGAAGATGTTCCTCCTCCAAATAGTCGCAGTTCAACAGCCCGCAGCTACATAGGCAGCAATCGTTCTTCTCTGGGTTCAATGTCTCCTTCAAATATGGAAGGATATACCAAAACTCCATATAGCCAAGTCCCAAGCGAAGACTTTGAACGTCCTTCTGGTCAAAACCCAGCCTTTGCACCTTCAAAGGTAGCTGCACCTAATTTAAGTAGAATGGGAGCTGTTCCTGTGATGATTCCAGCACAAAGCAAAGATGGGTCCATAGTATAAAATATTATTAATTTAAATGCTGGGTTTTAAGTGTTCTTTGTAAGTATTAGAGAAAACTACATGTTCCATCCCTCATTTAAACAACGGCATGCAATTTTCCTTCTAGAAAATGAACAAGTTAGTTTGAAAAGCCACCAATTCTTGTTTTTAATTTTAAACTTATTAGTGTATGACAGCTGAACTATTTGCTAAAAGCATTGAAGTTCCTAAATAAATGTCAGACACTGAGGGTATTTGGACCTCTGGTAGGTTGCTGAAGAGACGCTGTCAGCTGATGTGCAGTTCTGAGTATGTAACAGTGAGACACAATTCAGAAATAACAAAAGCATTTCATATGTAGATCATGAAGTTTCTCAGTGTTCCTGAAACTTTATCCTCAGTTTTGCAATAACAGAAATATTTTGACTTGGCCACTGTCTGATGTAGTTGCAGGGGGCTGAAATACTGAGGATGACTTTGAATTCTGTTCCAACTCTTGAGTATTTATGCAGTTCGTTAACCTGGTAATGTTTGTTTAGAGCACTGCTTGAGCTCTTATTTCAGGGGCTACCAGTTATTTAACTGGCTCAATTAATTTAATTAATCTATTCTGAATTTAAAATTCCAGTGAGTGGAAATGTGACAGGAGACCTAGCAAGCTCTTTCAAACATGAATTTTTCTGTAATAACTAGTTCTAGTCACGTCAGATAATTTAATATGTTATGTTGTCTGATGTAAGAGGTCCTATCAGATTGTTGGTAGTGGTACCTAAGCTTTAAAAAACTGTAGATCAACTGTTACTGTCACGGTAAGAATGAATATGCATCTCTCTACAGGTCTTAAGTTAATTGTACCTTGCATTTTCCAAAGCCTGTTTAGATTCTGAGGCAGTGCTCTTACTTTTTTTCCAAACAGATTAGCTAGAAGCTCCATGGGGTTTTAATGAAAGCTGTTAAGTAACTGGTATGCGATACCTGTCCTCTTGCTCCAACATCACTTTGGAAACATCTTTTTCCATATACATGGAAGCCGTAGTTAGCCTTCACTTAAGATGCTAATATCTTTCTCTGTGAACTTGCAAGTTTAAAGCTCATTTCTCCTTGCTTCTTCAACAGCTCTAAATATCCTTATTAACAGACATTTAGACTTTTAAGAGCAAGAGTTTCACGCAACCAGAATCTGAGAGGAAATAGTTATCCAGAATTGTTGATACAAATCTCATGTTTCAAGATTAGAAACCTTCTTTCCAGTTTTGCAAACTTAAAGCATTACAGGAGGAACAGAACAATTCCTCACCTTACTTTCACACATACTTAGGGGTTTTTGATAGCTTCTGATGACTGGATTTAAAGCTTAGTGCAGTTTGAATCTTTGTGGCTTTTTTTCTTCCTTCCTATTTTCTACTTTCTTTCCTCATCCTGTGCTGGGGGGCAGGAGGAAGAGTCCCTTCACCTTGTTCTAGCTATAGATGTTAAACTGCAAGGTATTTTGGAAAATTCTAAAGGCTTGTAGTATGAGGCACTGATGTTGATGAAGGAAATATCTGAATAGCCTGTTGAAAGATGTTAGGATTATTTGTATGAAGCAACAGTGTGAGAGAAAACATTTCCCCAAACTTCTAGGTTTAGTGTCGGCTTTTTTTGTAGCTGCTTATAGATCTGTGATAAATTCTTTGGCTGACTACTAAATGTTTGTCCTATCTGTAGTTAGATGCACAATTTTTGGCCGGCGCTATTAATGTAAAGAACATACCCTTCATACCGAATTTAGAAACTTGAATGGCTACTAAGTATTCTAGACCTAGTTTTACACATTTGGGACTTTTTTAGATTGTAAACTGATACTGTTAGATATCAGGTTTTTTTATCTTTCGTGTGTGCCTTTTCAATAAACTTTGCCTGATTGTAACTTCAGTTTTTATGAAATTTCTGGTGCCTAAATTTACTGTTTGAACAGGTGCTTAGATGATGGTACAGATCTTAAAACACGACACTGTGATCTGATTTCTTGATTCTTATGTACTATTTATACCTCTTCATGCCTATTTTTGGATGTGACTTAGTGGCTCTCTCTGTATTGTTCTGTATTTCAAAATGTCCGTTACTCCTTCAATTGCTAATTTTGCTCTAAGTGTTTATATTCCTGAAAACTGTTCAGTTGTTGTACCAGTGAGATGGATAATGGACTTTTACTTGTGTGGTAAATAATAGGTTTAGTAACTGTGCCAAACACACACTTATCGAGAACAATAGATGGGGAGACATCTTCTTGCATCCAATTATTGTGATAGAAGAGACTTCTGAGGTTTTAATCGTACACTGATTGTTTACCTTGAAACTAAGGCCTTCCTTAATTAAAAGGGTATAGGTATTAAAAATGTGAGCTGAGTACAAAACTAAACTGAATCACAGACTGAGAGAGAGCTATAAACCTAAACAACCAGGCAGCAAACCTATTGAATTTGGTTCTTAGCCATCTGTGGACATATGTGAGACTAGATGTGGGATTTTTTTTTTTTTACTTTTCTTTTTGTTTTGTTTTGGTTTTTGTTTGTTTGGCCTGAGACCCCGTGCTTTCAGTCAAGTAAGCCCTAGGACACTCAAAACCAGAAACTTATCTCACTAGAGCATACAGAGCAGAGTTTACACATGCTTAATGCTCTGTCAGCTTGTACAAAATAATAAATGGACAGAACGACAGCGTGATGTCCCCTCAGAGCCTAGCTGTTAGGCTTAGCAGCCTTGACAGTGTCTGTCTATTTATGTAATTGCATGGAAAATAAAAGAGATAGAATCTGACACAGTCCTTATCTGAAATAAAGAACCTCTGACTTGGAGTAAACTTTGCCTCAAGTTGGTATCATCATGCGGTTTTGAATGGATACAACACTACTTTGAAAACATAATACTGCTATTATAAATTATTTCTTTAGTCAGTAGATTGTTCACTTACACTGGATTATGATTCTCAAAAGCAGCTACTGTAGTTTAGCAGTTTTTTCTAGCTGTGTAGGAGATGAACTGGTTAAACACGTGAAGTGTCCGATCTGACAGATAACTCTGCTAACAGAACTCTTCTAGGAAGTAACGGCAGCTGATATACCAGTTAGAAGGTGGCATTTTTAATATTATGTAAATACTCTTAAGTGAACTCAAGAAACCTCTAGTTAATGTAATGACTGTAAACTTGCCTGTTGAGGTCTACTATATATAGAAGAAAAACCTCAATTTTAGCATGGTGTGAATAAAGTGTTTGACTTGTAATACTGTAGAGGTTATGTTACACTTGTCCATACGTTACAAACGTTTTCATAAACTTTCTGAAATGGATATTTAAAGGTATTTGTGTGAAAGTTCCTTACCTGAAAGTGAATTCTTCTTCCAAAACTGTGTAGTGCACAGAAATGCCTTTTTGGAGGGGTAAACCATGACTTTTGAAAGAAATGTACAATGCATACATCTCTATCCACTCCGATAGTCGCATTCATGTTAGATGTATGCTTCCTGCTTAATAGTACAAGTAAGACTTCTTAATTGCAAGTTTTTCTGTAATGTTGAATATTGTAAATTACTGGTTTCCATGATAGGCTTTTGGTTTTGTTCTTAGCAGTGTATATTCTGGATCGCTTTAGATCTTTGTTCCAGTCTAAAGACATAATGCTATTTGTGCCACTTAAACCTTGTTTATACACTTGATAGGTGCTTTATGGGACCCTTTGGTTACTGGTCCTTTAGTACTGAGGCACAGCTGAATTGAAATTGGAGCAATAATACTTCCTGAAATCCAAAATGTTACAACGTTACGTTTCTCATGCACAAAGCAAGGACTTGAATATTGATAGGAATTTCAGTATGAGGTTTTATATTCACACTTTTGGGGGAGTGGTATTTTAAAATACAGGTATTGTGAGTGAATTTGTAAAAACAAAATCCAGAATTTTAAAATGCTGTAGTTCCATGACAGACTTGTGTACTTTTTGAAATAAAACTGTTGGAGGAAACAGTAGTCTGTCTTTATTTTAAAGCAGCACTTGTGTATGGCTTCAGCTTTCTCGTTATGTAATTGGAAGTGAACTAATAAATATGGCTGTGTATTTAGCACGCTGGGATTAATCATTTTATTTCTTGTTTTTTCCCCCATTAATGTCTAAGGGAAGTAAAACTTCAGATATTTTAAAACACTCACTTATTTGTGGTTTCTAACTGCAGATAGGCAGATGTAGTAATCGATTTTGAAAACATACTGGAGCGGTCTCAACAGTTATTCTGAAACATAAGGCTGGAAAGGAACTTTAGATTAAATGTCATGCCTCTTTATTTTAGGTAGAACCAAAAATTCCTGAAACTGGTAAATTCTTGTCTTAAGATTCAAACAAGTAGGTTTACAGCACTTAAAGCATGTTGTTAAAATGCTTGGGTTTATATTGTCATTTAACGTGCATCTTTTTTGATTCAAATGAAGTTGACTTGGGATACTCCCCACCCCTTGGCCTTGCAAACCGACTGATCATTGTCCTTGTAATTTTACCTAAGATTAATGACATTTCTCCAGCGTCATCTTGGGCACATAACTTAGTTTTAGGAAACGAAGTCTGGCATAGGCTCTGTTTGCGTTGATGGCATGTATTATGTTTATATCATTGGAGGCCTAGTTAGCTTCCATATGCATATCTTTATATGTTATAATGTATGCATATCTTCATATGTAAATATGTACCTGTGCCATGCTGGATGTTTCGGTCACTTATTTGTGTATATATAAAAAACCTGTTGGGTGCATGTGTGCACAAGCATATGGAGTTAAATGGAGGACTGGTGGAAAAACCTTTAGGAATGTTTCTACTTCACGTTCAGATTTATGCTTAAATATAAAAGGAAACCTAACAGAAACGAAGGTTCAAATTTGTCTCTATCTGTAGAGCTCTAAGAAAGCTTTCAACACCCTTTTAACGTTAATGTCAAGACTGGAGTTCAAGACTTTGGTCCTTTCCTAAAGTGGCAGTTTTGTCACAGATGGCACT